TTTAGCTGCACAACGACTTTACTGCCTCAGAGGGTCTTTGGTTGTGGTGGAGGCTGGGTGGAGGTGGAGGTGTCACTGCATATGTATGCGTGGCTGATCGTTACACTGAAGGCAGCTTTACTGACAGCTGATTTCTGTCATGGTGAAAAAGAACGAGGTGACGATGGTAAACGGCCTGTATTTGTACAGCGCTTTACACAACATTCACACACTGGTGATGGCAGCTACATCGCAGCCACCGCTGCACTGACAGAGGAATCGAACCTGGAATCGAACCACCGACCTTCTGATTAGTGGCTGACCTGCTTTGCCACCTGAGCTACAGCCAGCCACGATGCAGGTGATGCAGGTGATGTAGCATGTTTACTCCTCCTCCTCCTCTGACAGTCTGTGACTGATTTCTATGACGTCTCAGGAAACGCCCACTGAATCCACGTCTGTGCACCAGGTGAGCAGCACTGGCTAGCCAGTCAGCCATTAGAAGTGTCCTCCAGTGAAACGACACAAACCCCACAGTGACACAAACTAAGAGCTGATGAGGTTTCACACAGGATTTAAGCGAGGTCACACGTTCCTCACTCAGGTACAGGTTAAAGTACTGATTTAACTTCAGTACTCGAGTAAAACAACAGGTTGCAGCATATATTTGTGGGAAGATGCTGATCGCACCTTTCTCAGGTGTGTTTTTCATCACGTCTTAAACTCGGTCACGTGTCATAAGCACTGATGGAGCAATCAGATTGTGTTTTATTGTTTCTCAGATTAAGGTGATGAGTTGGTGTGCAGTGACAGAATCACCTGCAGTACTGAGCCCGTTTGTACCACAGATACCTGAGGACTGAAGGAGAGTCGTCAGGTGTTTGTACCTCGTTACCTGAGCGCATGCTAATGTTAGCCTGTTAGCGTGGTACTTCTATGTTGGGATCAGGCAGTTTGTATGAATCAGCCAACGTCGTCCATCCAAACAGCCTTTTCCAAAAGTCACAGGCACACAGGGCTACAGACCAGTTAGCTGTTGCCTAGTAACTGCTGACCAGACACGTTGGTATTCACCGACAGGTTGGCGAGTGGATGCTGGAGGTTTGGTGACGGCTTCGGTCTCTGACAGACTGATGCAGGTTACGGTGAAGCCATCTTGTCTGCAACCAGTTGCTAAGCAGCTGTGAAACTAAAGGATGCAACTGTCTGCTTTCAGAATAAAAGCTGTGCTTCACAGGCTTCAGAAAGCACAGATTTTACTTTGAAGGCGAGCAGGTCCTGGTTTAAAATGTTTCAGCACAGCTCAGTGACTGTCTGCAGACGTGTCGGCGTCTTGGTAAGTATGGATCAGTGTGACTGTGTGAGTCGTAAACTCTGAAATGCTGAGCAGATGAATGAAGACTATTCAAACTATTAGCATGTCCTCACCTCTGGCAGACAGCTTCTTGGTGTTGATGATCTTGGCGGCGTACTCCTGACCCGACAGGACCTTCACGCAGCGCCGCACAACTGAGAACGCTCCCCTGGAAACACGACAGGAGGAACCGATCAGGCAGATAAAGGACACAGCTCATCCTCTCAGAGCGGGAGACCTTCACTTTAAGTGAAGCACGGCTGAAACATGAAGCTAGCATGGAAACCTGCAGTTCCTCTAACGGCCACAGGAGGCAGGCTCCATCCTCATAACGAGAGCTGAGACGTCACCCTTTGCTTTTTGGTGGAATTGCATCCTTTTGTTTCCAGGTGTGAACATATAAGGAGTACAGCGTGGAGTGATGTCATCAGCTAATGCTAGCTAGCATGGTTATCAGTCTGCATACACAGACGAGGAAAAACTAGACACCAATGGTAGAGGCTTCACAAACTTCCATCTTTTATATACAGTCTGTGGTTTGAAGCCACATCTGTTCATCTCTAAAGAAAGACCAGATACATTATGGGATTGAAGACTTGTTTTTATAACTCAATCAATAATCAATAACAGTAACGCTGATGAACGACGATCCTTTTATGGCTGGAAGTGAAGCTGCAGTTTCTGCAGAAAGCTTTCTGTTTCTTATGAAAGCTGCATTCTGCCACCCACCATCACATTATGTAAGAGACCTGGCATTATGTGTGTGTGTGCGCGTGTGAAAGTGTGTGTGTGAGAGTGTGTGTGCGTGTGTGTGAGTGTGTGTGAGAGAGAGAGAGTGTGTGTGTGTGTGTGTGGTGTGCGCGCGTGTGAGTGTGGGCGGTGAGTGGGATGGGGTCAGAAAGGTGTTACACTTCTCCCTCCATCTTTCTCTGCATTCATCAGTCATCTTTACTGATCAGCAGCTTAATCAATAATCAATAAACCATCAGACAGATCGAGTCATTATCTTTGCGTCGTTACAGCCGTTTACAATTATATCCAAACATAAACACAGTACACCACCTGTATGACATCATCAGAATAATCATTACTTAAACAACTTTGATTATGATAAGGAAACTTATTTAATAATAATAACAATAATAACAATAATAATGAGATTTGTCTCATTAAATGTGAATTTCTTAGATCCTGCAGAAAATATAAAGAAAAAATCAAATATTTAAAACATTTTAAATAAAGTTTTATTTGACACATGAGCTAAAAAAAATCAAAGAACTTGTGAGAGGCCGGTGGAATAACGATGGAACGTTTAAAGGTTTTTGATTCCTGACATAATTATTAAACATTTCTGATTCGCAGTCTTGGTTTAACAATAACGTGGGGACGAAGACGACCACACTCACTTGCCCAGCTCCTCATACAGCTGATACTCTTCAGTAAAACGAGTGCAGATGACCGTTGCCATGGTGACCCTGTGGGGCGAGGGGTCAGGGAGCTCCCTGTCGTCTTCCTCCGAGGATGATGATGATGGTGATGAAGCCCAAGACTCAGAGCCGTCTGAGTGTGTTGGAGGGATGAAGAAGAGGAGGCAGAGAGAGAAGAAGAAGCAGAGGTGGCAAAGAGAGAGAGAGAGAGAGAGAGTTTGGCTGCGGACGGAGGTAGAGGAGGAGGAAGAGGAGGAGGAAGATGGAGGGATGATGGAGAGAGCAGTGAGGAAGAGCTGCACCTCTCGTCTCTCTGTGCCGATCTGAGGCTGCGAGAGAGAGGGAGGCTGTGAGAGGCTCGCCCTGACCGCCCACAACCCTGCCAGCCAATCAGAGCGCAGGACACACACACACACACACACACACACAGTCGCTATGGTAACTGCATCCTCGCTGTGAGCATAAAGTAAAAAAGTGAGAGATCCAAAAACTGCAGATTAAACTAATAATATATAGTTTAATATCAGTGATACTACTGCTAGTAATAATACTACTGCAGCCAGTGGTACTGCAGTACACACAGTACTGTAAATACTGCCACTGCTATACTACATCATGCTTCCTACTACAGGAAGAGTGGTTTGCACCCAGTTTGTACTGGGAACAAGACAACCACAGTGAGGAGGTCAGGGTACCCTTGTGGAGGTCAGGGTACCCTTGTGGAGGTGGGGGGAATCCCAGGGTATTTCCAGAAACAGCTGATAATAAATCAGCTGATCATTGACTGACAGCGATCAGTGTCTGTGTTTGAGTCCAGCAGTCGGAGGAGCCGACTTCTCCGGTCTCCAGTTTTATTTTTAGCTTTGTTTATCTCCGCTGGGACGAGCTTCCTTCTTCCTGTCACTCATCTTTTCTGCTCGGCTTCCTCCTTTCGAGCCTCCTCGCCTCCTCCTCCTCTCTCTGGGGATGAAGAGCAGGACTGAAGCAGAGCTGATTGGTCAGCAGAGTTCAGGCTGAGCTCGTCTCCAAACCCCGAGAACACGCTGTGAGTGGGTGAAACACCAACCCAGTACCCCTCACAGCACTGGGAGCTCTGGGCTGGTGAGTGAACAGATGTGATGCCATATGGTGGTTTCTGATTGGCTGGTTCCAAAGTAAACTTTAACTGTAATAAGTTGACAGCAGCAGCTGTTTGAGTCTGTGATGCTGAAACTTTGTTTGTCCATCCATCCATCCACCCATCCACCCCTTCATCCATCCATCCATCAGTCCATCCCTCCATCCATCCCTCCATCTATCATCCCTCCATCAGTCCATCCCTCCATCCATCCCTCCATCTATCATCCCTCCATCCATCCATCCCTCCATCCATCCCTCCATCTATCATCCATCCATCCATCCATCCATCCACCCACCCCTTTATTTTCCATCCATCCATCCATCCACTCACCCCTTTATCATCCATCCGTCCATCCACCCCTTCATCCATCAGTCCATCCACCCATCCATCAGTCCATCCCTCCATCCATCATCGGTCCATCCCTCCATCCATCCACCCATCCATCAGTCCTTCCATCCATCCATCCATCCATCCATCCCTCCATCCATCATCGATCCACCCACCCATCCATCTGTCCCTCCATCCCTCCACCCACCCACCCACCCACCCATCCGTCCATCCATCCACCAACCCATCCATCTATCCACCCCTTCATCCATCCATCCATCCACCCCTTCATCCATCCACCCATCCATCAGTCCATCCATCAGTCCATCCCTCCATCCATCCACCCACCCATCCATCCACCCCTTCATCCACCCATCCATCCACCAACCCATCCATCCATCCCTCCATCGGTCCATCCATCCACCCACCCACCCATCCATCCATCCACCCCTTCATCCATCCATCCATCCATGCATCCACCCATCCATCCCTCCAGCCATCATTTCATCCATGAATCCATGCATCCATCCATCAGTCAGATTAAGTCTGGGTTTAATCCGATGAGGAGAAGAGACCCTCCAACAGGATGAGTCATGCACAGAGAGCAGAGTTTTCAGTGTCACAGGTGTGACGGCACGTTTAACACTGTGGAAGCTGTGCTGTATGATCCCAGTTTTAAACAATTTCTCTTCTGAGCTGAGAAGTTCACACCAGTGAGACATTAAAGGCTCATTACTGCTGCCAGTAGCTCAAACAGGCGTCTCACTGCAATCAGATTACATTATTTAGTTTGAGTAAATGTTATATTGTTGTGAAAAGGCCTTCAATGTGGCTCGTTTCTCAGCGTGGCCTCAGACTGACAGTTCCAGGGTTCTGTAGGTTAGCAGTTAAATGGCCTGGCCTGTAAATGACCGAGGCCCTGTACAG